GTGGGCATTATCAAAGTAATGAGTGTGAGTAAGCTATTTCCTAGGGCAGAGCCTCAGCAACTTCCACGACCTCAGATTTCTCAACGTGCTTCACAGACAATGAAGTATTTCATCAAATGCAGTCATTATTATAACACGGGAGATGCATCTGAAATGATTGATGCAGGTTGGTGCAGAAAAGATTTACAAGGATTCTGCTGGGGTTGGAGGGTTTGATCTACAGGGCGAGGCTGAATAGGCTGGGGCTTTTTTCTGTGGAGCGTTAGAGGCTGAGGGGTGGCCTTATAGAGGTTTATAAAATCCTGAGGGCATAGATAGGGTGACTAGCCAAGGACTTTTTCCTAGGGTGGAGTGTAAAACTAAAGGGCAGAGATTTAAGGTGAGGGGGGAAAGACTTATAAGGACTTGAGGGGTAACTTTTTGATGCAGAGGGTGGTTTGGGTATGGGACGAGCTGCCAGAGGAAGTGTCGGAGGTGGGTATAATTGCAACATTTAAAAGGCATCTGGATGGGTCTGTGAATAGGAAGGGTTTAGAACATAGAACATAGAACAGTACAGCACAATACAGGCCCTTCGGCCCACGATGTTGTGCTGAACTTTTACCCTAAACCTAAGATCTATCTAACCTCCACCCCTACCTTATACCATCATCCATATGCCTATCTAATAGCCGCTTAAATGTCCCTAATGAGGCCGACTCCACTACCCTCTCCGGCAATGCATTCTATGTCCCTACCACTCTCTGAGTAAAGAACCTACCTCTGACGTCTCCCCTATATCTACCTCCACTCACTTTGAAACTATGCCCCTTCATAATAGTTACCTCCACCCTAGGAAAAAGTCTCTGGCTGTCCACTGTACCTATACCTCTGATCATTTTATACACCTCTATCAAGTCACCTCTCATCCTTTATCGTTCTAAAGAGAAAAGCCCTAGCTCTCTCACCTTTCCTCGTAAGACCTTCCCTCCATTCCAGGCAACATCCTGGTAAATCTCCTCTGCGCCTTTTCCAACGCTTCCACATCTTTCCTGTAATGAGGCGACCAGAACTGGACACAATACTCCAGATGTGGCTGAACCAGGGTTTTGTATAGCTGGGGCATAATTTCACGGCTCTTGAACTCAATCCCTCTATTAATGAAAGCTAACACACCATACGCCTTCTTAACAACTCTATCCACTTGGGTGGCAGCTTTCAGGGAACTGTGGACATGAACCCCAATATCCCTCTGCTCCTCCACACTGCCAAGAATCTTTCCGTTAACCCTGTATTCTGCTTTCAAGTTTTTCCTTCCAAAATGAATCACCTCACACTTTTCAGGGTTAAACTCCACCTGCCACTTCTCAGCCCAGCTCTGTATCCTATCAATGTCCCTTTGTAACCTAGAACAGCCCTCCGCACTGTCCACAACTCGACCCACCTTCGTATCATCCGCAAACTTACTAATCCACCCTTCCACTCCTACATCCAAATCATTTACAAAAATCACAAATAGAAGAGGACCCAGAACAGATCCTTGTGGTATACCACTCATAACTGAGCACCATGTTGAATACTTTCCGTTCACTGCCACCCTTTGTCTTCTAAGGGTCAGTCAATTCCGAATCCAATCTGCCACATTTCCCCCTATCCCATGCCTCCATGTTTGGAGGGATATTGGCCAAATGTTGGCAAATGGGGCTAGGTCAGATTGGGATGTCTGGTTGGCACGGACAAGTTGGACCGAAGGGCCTGTTTCAATGCTGTATGACTCAAATACTCTGTGTTTGGTGACATGTAGCTAAGGGATAAACATTGGCCAGGAAAACAGGGGGAAATCCCGTGCACTTCTTCAAACTCTTGGGATCCTATATATCCACCTGAGAATATCTTCGTTTAAAGCAACATTTGCAAAACAGCACCTCTGGCAGTGAAGCACTCACACAGTGTAGCATTGGAGTCCCTAGTGTGGGATTTGAACTGATAACCTTCTAATATTAGCAGCAAGAGGTGCTACCAGCTGAAACTGAATAGTTGCATTTGTATATCAGCCATATGAGGTCCCCAAGCTACCAAATATAACAATTAAGATTGTGTCTCTCTTGCCACAGATGCAGCCGGACCTGCTGAGTTTCTCCAACGTTCTTTTTGTTAGTTTCAGAATTCTAGCACCTGCAGTATTTCGCTTTTAGTTTGAACAATTAACACTGAACTTCCTGAGGAAGTGGTGGATGTGGGTACAATTACATTTAAAAGACATTTGGATAAGTGCACGAATAGGAAAGTTTTGGAGGGATATGGGCCAGGAACAGGTAAGTGGGACTAGTTTAGTTTGAGATTATGTTAGGCATGCACTGGTTGGACCTGTCTGTTTCGGGTCTGTTTCCGTGCTGTATGACTTATTGACACTGGACAGTACATCCTGTGTAACATTAACTGCTTTCCACCTACTTTCCGATAATTATGCTCATATATTTTCAGCAATGATAATAAATGGGAGGAATTATATACAGTAAACAATATTATTGTTGTAATGGGATTGCTAACACTCTTTATCATTAACTCTAAAACATATGCTTTAGCAAAATTAAGCGAAGTATTTGGGATACAATCCTAGTGTCTGCTATAAAAAAGACTGTCTCAACATTCTTGTTCATGCACCAAGTGTCATACAGTAGAGATGGACTGTAACTCATCCTGCTCCCTCTGGAAATCTTGAGCCAACTGAGAACTCTACTCAGACAACTTGTCTGTGCCAACCAGACATCACAATCTGACCTAACCCCATTTACCAGCATTTGACCAATATCCCTCCAAGCCCTTCCTATTCCAAATTGATTTTATTTGTTTGTGTGACCTGGGCATCCCTTGTAAGGCCAAACATTTATCGCCCATCCCTAGTCATCCAGAGGACAGTTAAGGGTCAAACATTGCTGTGGTTCTGTAGGCCAGAGCAGGTAAAGAATGGTAGATTTCCTTCCTTAAAGGACATTGGTAAAAATGGTTTTTACAACTGTCAGTATTGGTTATACAGATGCCGTTAGACTAACCTTGTTTTTTAACTCCAGAGTTCTGTTTAATTGGTGTTTCATCATCTGCCATCGTGGGATTTGAACTCATGCCCTTAGAGCATTGAGCTGCTGTTCAGGATTACTATCCCAGAGATACTATTACTACTCAAGCACCTTCCCTTGTTCCAAATTGACTGGAGCTCATCATCCTGGCGCTCATTGACCTTCAGTGACTCCCTATCCATCAACATGGCAACTTGTAAATCGTCCTTATTTTTGAATTCAAACCCCTGTGCACCCTCATGTCCTGCCTGTCTCAGTAATCCAGAGTGACAACCCTCTGAAATCTCTTTGCTCTTTCATTCTAGCATCATTCAACTCCTTGACCCTACTAATTGCTGACTGGGCTTTTAGTCACTTAGGCATTATGTTCTGGGATTCTTTTCCTTAAACCTCTCTGTCCCTCTTCACTTAAAATGGCTTTTTAAAGCCTACAGTCATCTCTCCTTACATCTACTTTGACTTGATGGTGACTTTTGCTTCAGTCATGTTCCTGTGAGCACCTTGAGGCTTTTTTAACAATATTAATGATGATTACATTTAAAGTAAATCAGCAATACTGATGTACCAATTTTCCTTGTATTAAAGAGGAGGGAGAAAAATTCCCCAGGAGAACGACATGGGGAACAAAACTCAAGAGGGTTATCCCAAGACTGAGTGAGGACAGTGTTGGCACATCAAGGACACAGAGTAGGCAGGCCAGCTGGATCTCTTAGCAACAGATGGCCCTAAACTCACTGAAAGCAGAAGAAAATTATGGGAAATAAGTGGACAGCGTTTCAAAAGGAAATTGAGAATTTGAGAATGCTGCCATATCTCCAGGATATTTTGTAGAAATATCTTTGACAATGCCACTAATGACCGGCCTTTGATTGTACATTTTCTTCATTGTTGCATTATTTTTGCCATTTTTCTGCTTTTCCAGAAAAATGAATCATCGAGGAGATTATAATGGACATATGAGAGCAATGCAAAGTGATAGTTCTGAGGAAGGGTCACCAGACCCGAAACGTTAACTCTGATTTTTTTCTTCACAGATGCTGCCAAACCTGCTGAGTTTTTCCAGCAACTTTGTTTTTGTTGCGAATGCAAATTGATATTTATTTCATTTTAATGAGGCACTTTGTGCATCTACTATTTCCCATAAATGTTCATCACCAAAATGCCCGAGGTAACTTCATTCTGTAGGCTGTGTCCTGGTCAGGATCAATAGATATTGCTGTACCCTCATCTCTATCTACATGGTAATGCTGAGCATGAAGTGAACAGCAAATCATCTCTCTCCAGGATCTATCATTATGTGGTGTTTTATATCACTAATGCTGTATGCAGACTATTTGCATGTTGAGCATTAACCCTTTAGATGATGTTCACTCGACACAGACAGGCATGGAAACTGTCACTTTGGGATAACTTTTTGGAGGGCCTTTAGCAAGAACATAAGTACAAGGGAGGGTCATTTAACCCCTTGAGTCTGTTACATAATCAATGTGATCATGACTGAACTATGGCCTTAATCCATATACCTCTTTGCTCCATGTTCCTCGATATCTTTTGGGAGTAAAAATCTATTAGTATCAGATTTAAAATATTTTGGAATTCTCTGTCATAAATGGCAGTTGATCAAAATCCTAGCACCCTTTGTAGCAAGAAGTGTGTCCTAAATTCATCCCTGAATGATCTGGCTCTAATAGTTTAACTGTGCCTTGAGTCTTTGACTTCAGAAGTAGCAGAAATAGCTTGTCTCCATTTTCAGTACTTTATCCCTGATACCTTGATAACTACAACCCAAATTATTGCTTAACTTTCTGAATTCCCGGAATACAACAATAATTCATGCATTATCACCTTGTACTTGGAGTTCAGTTATCATTCTGGTAAATCTATGCTGCTCTCCCTCCAAAGCCAAAAATATTATTCTTATGTTTTATTTTTATTTATTCACAGGATCTGGCCATCACTTGCGAGGCCAGCATTTATTGCCCTAATTGTCCACAGGATATGGGTGAGCCACCTTCTTGTACAGTGACAGTCTTTGGGGTTTAAGCACACTCACAATTCAGAAGGGAATTCCAGGATTACAACCCGGCCATAGTGAAGGAAAAGGGATATATTTCCAAGTTGGGATGATGCGTAGGTTGGAGCAGAACTTGCAGGTGGTGGCATTGCAATGTATCTGCTGCTCTGTTCTTCTAGATGGTAGAGATCGCTGGTTTGGAAGGTGCTGTCAGAGGAGGCTTGGAGAGTTGCATGATTTAACCTAGGCTTTATACATTGTCGCATAAGTTTTTTCCCATTGTATGCTATTACTGCAGATATAAAGTGCAACATTCCATTAACAATTTTGACAATGTCTGTGTGTGACCATATCCCCACACTACATGCTCAAAAACCAACATCAGGAGATAAATACAATACAAAACAGCACAGGAACAGGCCCTTCTTTCCACTATTTAGACCCGCTACTTAGTGCCAATGCACGGTTTCAGTCTCTCTGTTCCCCTCCCGTTCAGGTGTCTGTCAAGATGTGCCTGCCTCCACCACCCCTACTGGCAGTGTGTTCCAGGTACCCACCACCCTTTGTGTGAAACATTTTCCCTCACATCTCCCCGAAACTTTCCCTCCTCACCTTGAACCTGTGCCCTAATGTAGTTGACCTTTGTTCCCTGGGAAATAGCCTCTCGTAATTTTGAAGATGGAAAACTGCATGCAATTCTGGTCACCCTGCTATAGGAAGGATGTTGTGCAACTTGAAAGAGTTCAGAAAAGATTTACAAAGATGTTGCTAGGACTGGAGGGTTTGAGCTATAGGGAGAGGCTGGATAGGCTGGGGCTTTTTTCCCAGGAGCGACAGAGGCTGAGGGGTGTCCTTATAGAGATTTATAAAGTTATGAGGGGCGTAGACACGGTAAATAGACAAGGTCTTTTCCCTAAGGTAGGGAAGTCCAAAACTAGAGGGCATAGGTTTAAGATGAGAGGGGAAAGATATAAAAGGGACCTAAGGGGCAACTTTTTCACAGATGATGCGTGTATGAAATAAGCTGCCAGAGGAAGTGGTGGAGGCCGGTACAATCACAACATTTAAAAGGCATCTGGATGGGTACATGAATAGGAAGGGTTTAGAGGGATATGGACCAAATGCTGGCAAATGGGACTAGATTAAGTTAGGACACCTGGTTGGCATGGATGAGTTGGACCACAGGATCTGTTTCAGTGCTGTATATCTCTATGACTGTATGACTTCTAACATGTCGCCCCTCAGCCTCCATCTCTCCAGTGAAAACAATCCGATTTTATCCAATCTCTCCTCATAACTAAAACCCTCCAGGCAACATCCTGGTAAACCTTCTCTGCACCCTCTCCAAAGCATCCACATCCTTCTGGTAGTGTGGCGACAAGAACTGCACACAGTATTCCAAGTGTGGCCTAACTAAAGTTTTGTACAGCTGTAACATAACATGCCAACTTCTTTATTCTATGCCCCGATCGATGAAGGCAGACGTGCTGTATGCATTCCTGACCACTTTATCCACCTCTGTTGCCACTTCCAGGGGTCTGTGGACATGTACACCCAGATCCCTCTGTATGTCAATGCTACAAAGGGTTCTGGAAGAAAAGAGAAGGTGGGGGAGGTATTGGGTTTGAGGGGGGAGGTTGAGGGAACCAAAGTGCAGCTGGAGCCAGAGGGGGTGAGATTTTCTGTGTCAGTCTGAGGACTCGGTTTACATTCAGAGTTCCGCTTCGAAGCTGAGTCTGGATGGCAATCATGATGCAAATCTAGTTTCTCTTTGATTCAGAACAGCTGGAAATGTGAAACACAAGTGCAGGCAAAATAAACACGGCTGTGCAAGCAGCCTCACTGTCGTCTGTCTGCGCGCTTTCGGCATCGATTCTTACAAATGCCTGGAACTAAGATTCAGATTCTGAGAATACAAACCGATAAAGCCCTGGCTCCCTGGAAGGTTGGAAGAGAATACATACTGATGGAAATCTCTGTGCTTGGGGCTGAGCTATAGCCAATCCTCCTGAGATCACGGATTATAAACTGCTCGGAGTGACTACAGGACAGCTCTGTCACACTGCTTCATTAAAAATATTGACCTTCACAGCCTCAGCCAATTCTGCTCCTTAGAGGCAAATATAATGGTCACAACGTCAGCAGAATTCAGTCCTTTCTCTTTTCTTATTTAAAGAAACACCTATTCCATTTTGATCTAGATTTCTGGTGTCACAAAGGAAGGAGTCGCACCATTAAAAGTATCTCCAAGGCATAGACAGATTATTCCTCAAGGTTTGATGGTTCCTCCCTCCGGGGCAGACATGTGACTTTTCCCAGAGCCTACCACAGGGCTCAATTGGTTGAGCCTACCATGGGTAGAATTCCAGCCCAAGAAGATTAACATGGTCCCATCATCAAGTGGGATTTCCTGGAATCTTTGCATGGAATCATACAATCCCTACAGTGTGGAATGACACCATTCTGCCCATCGAGTCTGCACCGACCCTTCGAAGACCATCCCACCCAGACCAAGCCTCCTACCCTGTCCCCATAACCCTGCATTTACCATGGCTAATCCACACAGCGTATGCATCCCTGGACATTACGGGATAATTTAGAATGCCCAATCCACTTAATCTGTACATCGTTGGACTGCGGTAGGAGAAGCACACAGACACAGGGGAGAATGTGCAAACTCCACACAAGCTGGAATCGAACCTGGGTCCCTGGCATTGTGAGGCAGCAGTGCCAACCACTGAAACACCGTGCTGGATGGGGCAGAATTCTGTTAGCATGAAATATTGTCTTCATGCTTCTACCTCAGCTGAAAAATGCAGAAGTTGGGGACCATATTAAATATCAGAAGATCAGCAAATATTGGTTCCTGCTGTACTTTTTTAAGAAGGTCCACTTCAAGTGATGATCTTGATGTCCAGTTGACACTCAATGAGAGCATGGCTGTGACCTCAGCATCATTATAAAGAGCACATTGAAATAAAGAGTAGAGAGTATCATTCAATTAAACAAAAACTCCAATGAAATCTTCCTCTGCTGCTGTTATCATCATGCCATTTATATTCAAAGATTCCTTTTTAAGAACCATGAGAGTGAAAGAGGCTTCAGAATTTTTACCTGAAAAATATTGGAACTGTCTTGTGCTCAACTTGAACCAGCCATTAAAAAAAGGCACTTGTTGCACAAGTTGAGTCCAGTGACTTGGGAAATTATCAGAGCGCACAGGAGCAAGGTTTACAATCTGTTCCCACGCAAATGTGAGCATGAGAATATAGGCCAATGCTTCAGTGAAACAGCTGAGAGAGTTGTCTAAGGCCCAGTCTGCTTGCTTAAGAGAGTAAAAAGGATCCCAGAACGTTGGAGAGGGAGCTTTTTCCACAGCCTGGATCTGTAACCCTCTCACTGATAAAGCAACACCGAAACTGAACATACCTGGTAATTCATTTATTATGTGTTTCTAGGACCATGGAACAATTTCTAGGTACAAATTAGCTGCCTGTTAACCCACTGGTGACAACTCACTAAGCTGTCATAAGGTGTTGCTGAAATACACATTCTTCTTGTTCCTTAAATAGCATCAAGTCCCATTCACCCATCAACCCTGCCCTTGACAACTTCATTGGCTCCTAATCAAGTAGCATCTTGGTTTTTCACTTGACCGCGTCACGACCTCACCACACCCCATCTCCTAATTCCCTCGGACCCCACAACCGTCCAAGATATCTGCACTCATCAAATTCTGGCCTGCTGAGCATCACAGCCTCAATCACTTGACGTTTATACCTTCAATTGTCCAGGCTTTCATGGATCCTGTTTAGCTCAGTTAGCCACATGGCCCGTTTGCAATGCAGGCTGACACCGATAGTAGGGGTTCTTTTCCAGCACCAGGCGAGACTTCCGTGAATGGTTCTCCCTCTCAACCTCTCTCCTTGCCTGAGATGAGGTGACCTCAGGTTAAACCACTGCCAGTTATCTCTTACAGAGACCAACCCTATGGTCCAGTAGTACAATGGCAACTTTACCTTTTTAACCAGGCCCTAAGCTCTGGAATTTCCTCCCTGGAGCTCTCTGCCTTACCTTTCTCCTTTAAGACACTCCTTAGAAGCTGTCCTGTTGAGCAAATTTTGATACTTAATCGTTTATTATGTTGCTGCTTTGGGAAATTATACAACAAAACAGTTGTTGTTTTATTCTCAATTCAGTGATTGCTTTGCCGACGAGATGGGATGTTTAATTATGAGAAAGGCACCTTGAAAATATAGGTTGTTGCTGTTGTTGGACACACGGTGAACTCATTTTCACTTGGGTCCAGACAGACATCTCCTGACCTTTGTGGAGTTCAGAGTCAGGGTAAATTTCTGAAGAAGGGCCTAGGCCCGAAACATCAGCCTTCCTGCTCCTCTGATGCTGCTTGGCCTGCTGTGTTCATCCAGCTCTGCACCTTGTTATCTCAGATTCTCCAGCATCTGCAGTTCCTACTATCTCTAAATCATCGCATCAGTTAGTGAAGATTGTGGGATCATTGAAGAAAAGTAGCCCAGAAGAGATTGAAATGGTATGGCCATTTGTTATGGACAGAGACAAAAATTAGGTGAGGCAAATGGTAGAGGTGACCCTGGAGATCAGATAGAAAGATGCTCTGGTGCGAGACTTCAATGCAGTGGGAATTGAAGAGGAATGGGTGAATGGTCGGAAGTAATGGATGAGAATGATCAATCAGCAACATGGCGACCCAAATAAGATGAAAGAAGGTTATCAACGAGGTACTGAATCTGACAAGATAGACAATGTAATAGCACACAGAAGTACTGGCTTAAGGAACCAAAATGTAATTAATAGTGTAAAGAAATGAATGAATACAGAGTGCTGTTCCTGCAGTCATTTCTTAGGAACCTGGCTGAGAGAAGTAGCAACATGTTGCTGTATTTTGGGTTTTGATTGGGGAGGTGGATGGTGGATAAAGATAACATTCAATTTTCTTATCAAGATTACAAAACATGAAGATAGGACATGCTTTAAATAGAACGGAAACCAGGAAAAAAATGAATGAAACTGAACTTGAAACAAATGTCTCATTCAGTCAAAAGTTTCACAGAAGGTTCATTGTTGCTCGTTCCCAGCTTAACGCTGACACAATCTAGCAGCAAGGACTGGGGAATGAGCTTGAACAAAGTTCCATTCCATTGGACATTTG